ATTGGAGCCCAGAATCCCGGACTGGAGCCCAGAATCCCAGACTGGAGCCCAGAATCCCGGACTGGCGCCCAGAATCCTGGACTGGAGCCCAGAATCCCGGACTAGAGCCCAGAATCCTGGACTGGAGCCCAGAATCCCGGAGTTGAGCCAAGAATCCCGGACTGGAGCCCAGAATCCCAGACTGGAGCCCAGAATCCCGGACTGGAGCCAAGAATCCCGGACTGGTGCCCAGAATCCCGGACTGGAGCCCAGAATCCCGGACTGGAGCCCAGAATCCCGGACTGGAGCCCAGAATCCCGGTCTGGAGCCAAGAATCTCGGACTGGAGCTCAGAATCCCGGACTGGAGCCCAGAATCTCGGACTGAAGCCAAGAATCCCGGACTGGAGCCCAGAATCCCGGACTGAAGCCAAGAATCCCAGACTGGAGCCCAGAATCCCGGACTGGAGCCCAGAATCCCAGACTGGAGCCAAGAATCCCGGACTGGAGTCCAGAATCCCGGACTGGAGCCCAGAATCCCGGACTGGAGCCAAGAATCCCGGACTGGAGCCCAGAATCCCGGACTGGAGCCCAGAATCCCGGACTGAAGCCAAGAATCCCGGACTGGAGCCCACAATCCCAGACTGAAGCCAAGAATCCCGGACTGGAGCCCAGAATCCCAGACTGAAGCCAAGAATCCCGGACTGGAGCCCAGAATCCCGGACTGGAGCCAAGAATCCCGGACTGGAGTCCAGAATCCCGGACTGGAGCCCAGAATCCCGGACTGGAGCCAAGAATCCCGGACTGGAAGCTAGAATCCCGGAATGGAGTCCAGAATCCCAGACTGGAGCCAACAATCCCGGACTGGAGCCCAGAATCCCGGACTGGAGCGCAGAATCCCGGACTGGAGCCAAGAATCTCGGACTTGAGCCCAGAATCCCGGACTGGAGCCCAGAATCGCGGACTGAAGCCAAGAATCCCGGACTAGAGCCCAGAATCCCGGACTGAAGCCAAGAATCCCGGACTGGAGCCCAGAATCCCGGACTGGAGCCCAGAACCCCAGACTGGAGCCAAGAATCCAGGACTGGAGTCCAGAATCCCGGACTGGAGCCCAGAATCCGGACTGGAGCCAAGAATCCCGGACTGGAGCCCAGAATCCCGGACTGGAGCCCAAAATCCCGGACTGAAGCCAAGAATCCCGGACTGGAGCCCAGAATCCCGGACTGAAGCCAAGAATCCCGGACTGGAGCCCAGAATCCCGGACTGGAGCCCAGAATCCCAGACTGAAGCCAAGAATCCCGGACTGGAGCCCAGAATCCCGGACTGGAGCCCAGAATCCCGGACTGAAGCCAAGAATCCCGGACTGGAGTCCAGAATCCCGGACTGGAGCCCAGAATCCCGGCCTGGAGCCAAGAATCCCGGACTGGAGCCCAGAATCCCGGAATGGAGTCCAAAATCCCGGACTGGAGCCAACAATCCCGGACTGGAGCCCAGAATCCCGGACTGGAGCCCAGAATCCCGGACTGGCGCCCAGAATCCCGGACTGGAGCCCAGAATCCCGGACTGGAGAACAGAATCCCGGACTGGAGCCCAGAATCCCGGACTGGAGCCAAGAATCCCGGACTGGAGCCCAGAATCCCGGACTGGAGCTAAGAATCCCGGACTGGAGCCAAGAATCCCGGACTGGAGCCCAGAATCCCGGACTGGCGCCCAAAATCCCGGACTGAAGCCAAGAATCCCGGACTGGAGCCCAGAATCCCGGACTTGAAGGCCAAGGAATCCCGGGACTGGAGCCCAGCATCCCGGACTGGAGTCCCAGAATCCCAGACTGAAGGACCCAAGAATCCCGGACTGGACAGCCCAGAATCCCGGACTGGAGCCCAGAATCCCCTGACTGAAGTCCCCAACAGAATCACGGATCTGGAGTCCAGGAATCCCGGACTAGGAGCCCAGAATCCCGTGACTTGCGCCAAGAATCCCGGCTGGAGCCCAGAATCCCGGAATGGAGTCCAAAATCCCGGACTGGAGCCAACAATCCCGGACTGGAGCCCCAGAATCCCGGACTGGAGCCCCAGGAATCCCGGACGGGGCGCCCAGAATCCCGGACTGGAGCCCAGAATCCCGGACTGGAGACCAGAATCCCGGACTGGAGCCCAGAATCCCGGACTTGGAGCCAAGAATCCCGGACTGGAGCCCAGAATCCCGGACTGGAGCTAAGAATCCCGGACTGGAGCATAGAATCCCGGACTGGAGCCAAGAATCCCAGATCTGAGCCCAGAATCCCGGACTGGAGCCCAGAATCCCGGACTTGGAGCCCAGAATCCCGGACAGGAGCCAAGAATCCCGGACTGGAGCCAAGAATTCCGGACTGGAACCCAGAATCCCAGGAATGGAGCCAAGAATCCGGACTGGAGCCCAGAATCCCGCCGGACTGGAGCCCAGAATCCCGGACTGGAGCCCAGAATCCCAGACTGAAGCCAAGAATCCCGGACTGGAGCCCAGAATCCCGGACTGGAGCCCAGAATCCGGACTGGAGCCAAGAATCCCGGACTGGAGTCCAGAATCCCGGACTGGAGCCCAGAATCCCGGAATGGAGCAAGAATCCCGACTGGAGCCCAGAATCCCGGAACTGGAGTCCAGAAATCCCGACTGGAGCCAACAATCCCGGACTGGAGCCCAGAATCCCGGACTGGAGCCCACAATCCGGACTGGGAGCCAAGAATCTCGGACTGGAGCCCAGAATCCCGGACTGGAGCCCAGAATCGCGGACTGAAGCCAAGAATCCCGGACTGGAGCCCAGAATCTCGGACTGTAGCCAAGAATCCCGGACTGGAGCCCAGAATCCCGGACTGGAGCCCAGAATCCCGGACTGGAGCCAAGAATCCCGGACTGGAGCCCAGAATCCCGGACTGGAGCCCAAAATCCCGGACTGAAGCCAAGAATCCCGGACTAGAGCCCAGAATCCCAGACTGAAGCCAAGAATCCCGGACTGGAGCCCAGAATCCCGGACAGGAGCCCAGAATCCCGGACTGGAGGCAAGAATCGCGGACTGGAGCCCAGAATCCCGGACTGGAGCCAAGAATCCCGGACTGGAGCCCAGAATCCCGGAATGGAGTCCAGAATCCCGGACTGGAGCCAACAATCCCCCACTGGAGCCCAGAATCCCGGACTGGAGCCCAGAAACCCGGACTGGCGCCCAGAAACCCGGACTGGAGCCCAGAATCCCGGACTGGAGACCAGAATCCCGGACTGGAGCCCAGAATCCCGGACTGGAGCCAAGAATCCCGGACTGGAGCCCAGAATCCGGACTGGAGCTAAGAATCCCGGACTGGAGCATAGAATCCCGGACTGGAGCCAAGAATCTCAGATCTGAGCCCAGAATCCCGGACTGGAGCCCAGAATCCCGGACTGGAGCCCAGAATCCCGGACAGGAAGCCAAGAATCCCGGACTGGAGCCAAGAATTCCGGACTGGAACCCAGAATCCTCGGACTGGAGCCAAGAATCCCCGGACTGGAGCCCAGAATCCCGGACTGGAGGCCCAGAATCCGGACTGGAGCCCAGAATCCCGGACTGGAGCCAAGAATCCCGGACTGGTGCCCAGAATCCCGGACTGGAGCCCAGAATCCCGGACTGGATCCCAGAATCCCGACTGGAGCCCAGAATCCCGGACTGGAGCAAAGAATCTCGGACTGGAGCCCAGAATCCCGGACTGGAGCCCAGAATCTCGGACTGAAGCCAAGAATCCCGGACTGGAGCCCAGAATCCCGGACTGAAGCCAATAATCCCGGACTGGAGCCCAGAATCCCGGACTGGAGCCCAGAATCCCAGACTGGAGCCAAGAATCCCGGACTGGAGTCCAGAATCCCGGACTGGAGCCCAGAATCCAGGACTGGAGCCCAGAATCCCGGACTGGAGCTAAGAATCCCGGACTGGAGCCCAGAATCCCGGACTGGAGCCCAGAATCCCGGACTGAAGCCAAGAATCCCGGACTGGAGCCCAGAATCCCGGACTGAAGCCAAGAATCCCGGACTGGAGCCCAGAATCCCGGACTGGAGCCCAGAATCCCGGACTGGAGCCAAGAATCCCGGACTGGAGTCCAGAATCCCGGAATGGAGCCCAGAATCCCGACTGGAGCCAAGAATCCCGGACTGGTGCCCAGAATCCCGGACTGGAGTCCAGAATCCCGGACTGGAGCCAAGAATCCCGTACTGGAGTCCAGAATCCCGGACTGGAGCCAACAATCCCGGACTGGAGCCCAGAATCCCGGACTGGAGCCCAGAATCCCGGGCTGGCGCCCAGAATCCCGGACTGGAGCCCAGAATCCCGGACTAGAGACCAGAATCCCGGACTGGAGCCCAGAATCCCGGACTGGAGCCAAGAATCCCGGACTGGAGCCCAGAATCCCGGACTGGAGCCAAGTAATCCCGGACTGGAGCCTAGAATCCCGGACTGGAGCCAAGATCCCCGGATCTGAGCCCAGAATCCCGGACTGAGAGCCAGAATCCCGGACAGGGCCAAGAATCCCGGACTGGAGCCAGAATCCCGGACTGGAGGCAAGAATCCCGGACTGGAACTCCAGAATCCCGGACTGGAGCCAAAATCCCGGACTGGTGACCAGAATCCCGGACTGGGCCCAGAATCCCGGGACTGGCGCCCAGAATTCCCGGACTGAAGCCAAGAATCCCAGACTGGAGCCCAGAATCCCGGACTGGCGCCCCAAGAATCCCGGACTGGAGCCCAGGAATCTCCGAACTTGGAGACAGAATCCCGGACTGGAGCCCAGAATCCCGGACTGGAGCCCAGAAATCCGGACTGTAAGCCCCAGAATCCAGACTGGAGCCCAGAATCCCGGACTGGAGCCAGAATCCCGGACTGGGGCCCAGAAATCCCGGATCTGAGGCCAGAATCCAGGACTGGAGCTCAGAATCCCAGCGGCTCCGGCTCCGCGTCCCCTAATGCCGCCCCCCCCCCTACCCTGACCCCCTCCACCCCCCCTCCACCCCCCCCCCCTCCACCCTCCAGATGAGCACGAGGCCACGGCTGCTGGGCCGCGTGAGCTCCCCGCACCGCTTCCCGGGGCCCCCGTGGCCCCCCGCGACCCCCGCGGCGACCCCCGCGGCGACCCCCGCGGTGACCCCCGCGGCGACCCCCGCCGCCACCGCCGCCACCGCCGCCGCCGCCGCCCTGGCGCCCCCCCGGGGCCCGACGAGGCCCTCGGCTCCGACGACGGCAGCGGGGGCTCCGACGCGCCGCGCTCCGAGGGGGGCGGCTGGCCCGCCGGCTGGGGGGCCCTGGGGCCCGGGGGCCCCCGGAGCGGGCGGAGGGCCAGCGACGCCCTCTCTGAGGCGTCGTGCGCCTGGTGAGCGGGTGGGGGGGGGGGGGGGGGGGTGAGGTGGGGTGGGTGGGGGTGAGATGGGGGGGGTGAGGTGGGGGTGGTAAAGTGGGGTGAGGTGGGGGGTGAGGTGGGGGGGTGAGATGGGGGGTGAGGTGGGGGGTGAGGTGGGGGTGGTGTGGTGGAGGGTGGGGTGGTAAAGTGGGGTGAGGTGGGGGGTGAGGTGGGGGGTGAGGTGGGAGGGTGAGGTGGGGGGTGAGGTGGGGGGGAGGGTGAGTGAAGTGAGGGGGGGTGAGGTGGGGGGTTGAGGTGGGGGGTGAGGTGGGGGGGAGGGTGAGGTGGAGGGTCGGGGGGTTGAGGTGGGGGGTGAGGTGGGGGGGGGAGGGTGAGGTGGAGGGTCGGGGGGTTGAGGTGGGGTGGGGGGGTTGAGGTGGGGGGGTGAGGTGGGTGGGGTGGGGGGGTTGAGGTGGGGGGGTGAGGTGAAGGGGGGGGGTGAGGTGAGGTTGGGGGGACAGTTTCCGCTATAAATGTCCACGTGATGTTAATCCACTTTGTTGAGTTATCATTCGTTACGGCCGGGCTGTATCGCTGTCTCGCTTCTGACCCACAGCTACACAGCAGCTTCGTGGGGCCTTAACCTGGCAAGATGAACATTGTTACATCGCCTAGAACGCGCAACGGGGCACCAATTAACACGAAGCGGTCGAGGCGATCTCGATTTGAAGCTTCCGTCACTGCAGGGAGAGATCCCCGTACTCGAAAGTCGTCACGTGGGTTGACAAAATAAAATAAATCACGACGTTTCGGGCGCAACACAAGGGGCGTCCTTCATCAGGTGGGCCAATTCCCCAGGGGGGGGGGGTGCAGTTACCTCCGCGACTGGGGGGGGGGGGGGTAAACCAATCGCTCCGATATTGGTGCTACAGACTATAAATGACTGCATCACGGACACTTATGCGAGAGCCGGGGTACTAATGGTAACCGCCACGAGGTTCATTTGCCGTAACTTTCTCACCCTTCACCACACGCGCGGCTTCTCCTCCTCCTCCTCCCTCCCATCACATTCTTGTTTTTTCATACTTTGATACAGGCAGAAAGGTGTATCCCATGCCATAGCTGTTCGCCCCCGAGGCTCTGAATGCTCTGGGCTACGTGTGGCATTGCCCTTGTCCCTGTTCGTCTTTAGGCGTTCTTCACGGATCTGCCGCCGGTGGCGAGACGAGGCCCAGAGAGAAGGCGGCCGCTCGATCTCGATTTGACGCTTTCGTTAATGCAGGAATCCACACTCGCTGGTTCTCTCGGTCAAGTCCAGGGGCGGAGCCACGGGGGGCTGGGGGGGGCTGGGGGGGGGCTGGGGGGGGGGGCTTGGCCCCCCCTGAAATTTTGGGAAAGTCGGTAATCGGATAACCGGATATTCGGCTGCTGCAAAATGCTGCAGGCTGCCACCTTGTGTGCTGCCCTGCAGGCTGCCACCTTGTGTGCTGCCCTGCAGGCTGCCACCTTGTGTGCTGCCCTGCAGGCTGCCACCTCGTGCTGCCCTGCAGGCTGCCACCTTGTGTGCTGCCCTGCAGGCTGCCACCTTGTGCTGTCACCTTGTGTGCTGCCCTGCAGGCTGCCACCTTGTGCTGTCACCTTGTGTGCTGCCCTGCAGGCTGTCACCTTGTGTGCTGCCCTGCAGGCTGCCACCTTGTGTGCTGCCCTGCAGGCTGCCACCTTGTGCTGTCACCTTGTGTGCTGCCCTGCAGGCTGCCACCTTGTGTGCTGCCCTGCAGGCTGCCACCTTGTGTGCTGCCCTGCAGGCTGCTACCTTGTGTGCTGCCCTGCGTCACGTAAACCTGTCAACCGCTTTTACTAAGAATGATCAGTGCCCCTAGCTTATTACAGACCAACTCAGACCTTAATGGTCACCCCGTGCCCCCCTATAAATCTCAACGTTCATCCTATACACTACACTATACCCTAACTATACACTCCACACTACACTATACACTGCACTATACACTACACTATACACGACGCACTACACTACACACTGCACTATACACTACACTATACATTACACTATACACTACACACTGCACTACACACTACACTATACACTATACTACAAACCTATCAACCGCTTTCACTAAGAATGATCAGTGCCCCTAGCTGATCACAGACCAACTCGGACCTTAATGGTCACCCCGTGCCCCCTTATAAATCTCAACGTTCATCCTATACACTACACTAAACACTGCACTATGCACTACACTATGCACTACGCTATACACTACACTATGCACTACACTATGCACTACATTATACACTGCACTGTACACTACACTATACACTACACTATACACGACACACTACACTACACACTGCACTACACACTACACTACACTCTACACTACACACCTATCAACCGCTTTAACTAAGAATGATCAGTGCCCCTAGCTGATCACAGGCCAATTTCGGACCTGAATGGTCACCCCGTGCCCCCCTTATAAATCTCAACATTCGTCCTACCAGGTCCCCATCGCAAGGGAGAAACACAAACAGGGGATAATATACACATCTTTTTTTTTCAATCTTCGCCGCATTGAAACGTCCGTACGTGCCGTACGTGACCTGAAGACTGAATTCTCCCCTGCACAAGAATGCGCACGGGCCAGAGCCGTACGGGTTGACGCCTTTGATGACGGCTGGTGCCGTGCAAGCCGTCGCGTGGGGGACACCCATCGAGTACGAAGCACGCAAACCTTCTGTCAAAACTCGACCCAATACACCTCCCTGTACACGCACGCGGACTTTTAACACACCACCACCATCACCTGTGTAGGTACGCCTGACGCACCACCTCCCCTCCCCTCCTCCCGCCCCGAATACGATAGAACGGCCGATATTTAATCTACGCAGAAACGATCATCAAAGGATGAATAATATTCACGTGGTTCAAGCTAAACAGATACTGTAGTCCACACCGCCGGACGAGCTAACTCAATTGAAGGCCAATGTAGACAAATTATTACCGAGACTTTACACTCCCCCCCCCCCCCCGCGTTTCCTATGCGTACATTGTGAGTTAGACCCCCCCTCCCCCAAATGCAAGCTACGCATTTGGGTTAACTCCCCCTCCCCCCTCCATGTGTTCGGACTCGATCGATGGCCCAGATCCCCTCGCTCGCCACGTTGTGAACTTTGCACAACATCGGTGGCCCACCGAGTGATGTAACTTCGTTGCTGCTGCTGCTGTTGTTGTTGTGCAAGACCATCAGGGCCCCGTGGGTGAGTGGCTGAGTGGGTAAGTGGAGTGGGTAAGTGGCTGAGTGGGTAAGTGGAGTGGGTAGGTGGCTGAGTGGGTAAGTGGAGTGGGTAGGTGAGTGGGTAAGTGGATGAGTGGGTAAGTGGATGAGTGGCTGAGTGGGTAAGTGGCTGAGTGGGTAAGTAGGTGAGTGGGTAAGTAGGTGAGTGGGTAAGTGGATGAGTGTCTGAGTGGGTAAGTGGCTGAGTGGGTAAGTAGGTGAGTGATGAGTGGGTAAGTGGATGAGTGGGTAAGTGGCTGAGTGGGTAAGTGGCTGAGTGGGTAAGTGGCTGAGTGGGTAAGTGGCTGAGTGGGTAAGTAGGTGAGTGAGTGGATGAGTGGCTGAGTGGGTAAGTGGGTAAGTAGGTGAGTGTCTGAGTGGGTAAGTGGATGAGTGTCTGAGTGGGTAAGTGGCTAAGTGGGTAAGTAGGTGAGTGGGTAAGTAGGTAAGTGGGTAAGGTGAGTGGCTGAGTGGGTAAGTGGGTAAGTAGGTGAGTGGCTGAGTGGGTAAGTGGATGAGTGGGTAAGTAGGTGAGTGGGTAAGTAGGTGTGCGGGTGAGTGGGTAAGTGGATGAGTGGCTGAGTGGGTAAGTGGCTGAGTGGGTAAGTAGATGAGCGGGTAAATAGGTGAGCGGGTAAATAGGTGAGCGGGTAAGTAGGTGAGTGGCTGAGTGGTTAAGTGGATGAGTGGCTGAGTGGGTAAGTGGCTGAGTGGGTAAGTGGGTAAGTAGGCGAGTGGGTAAGTGGGTAAGTAGGTGAGTGAGTGGGTAAGTGGATGAGTGTCTGAGTGGGTAAGTGGTTGAGTGGGTAAGTAGGTGAGTGTCTGAGTGGGTAAGTGAATGAGTGGCTGAGTGGGTAAGTGGCTGAGTGGGTGAGTGGGTAAGTAGGTGAGTGTCTGAGTGGCTAAGTGGATGAGTGGCTGAGTGGGTAAGTGGCTGAGCGGGTAAGTGGCTGAGTGGATGAGCGGGTAAGTGGCTGAGTGGGTAAGTGGCTAAGTTGCTGAGTGGGTAAGTGGCCGAGTGGGTAAAGTGACTTAACTGGCGAGTGGCCGAGTGGGTGTGGCTACGCGGAAGTGGGTGGAGCTGAAAAGCTAGGCCCCTCCCCCCAGATAGTCATTCGACCCGCAACCCAACACCGTCACACCGACTCCTCCGCTGGAAACAAGACGTTTATTATCGTTATCATCGTTAATATCATAATAATATTATTATTATTCTTGCCGTCATCATCACCATCAATACGACGAGCAAGACGACAATGGCTGCGGCGATTATTGAGCGACATGCTGCCCGGGGTCGCGACGACGCGGGGGGACGTGACGACGCCGCACGCGGTCCACCGTCGTCGTCACGGAGACGGCGGGTGGTACCCGCGGTCGTCACGGAGACGGCGGCGGGGGGGTTGGTACCCGCGGTCGTCACGGAGACGGCGGGTGGTACCCGCGGGCGTCACGGAGACGGCAACGGGGGGGGGGGTTGGTACCCGCGGTCGTCACGGAGACAGCAGGGGGAACCCGCGGTCGTCACGGAGACGGCAACGGCGGGGGGATGGTACCCGCGGTCGTCACGGAGACGGCGGCGGGGGGTTGGTACCCGCGGTCGTCACGGAGACGGCGGCGGGGGGGTTGGTACCCGCGGTCGTCACGGCGACGGTGTGACGATGCGCGCGGGAGAGGGGGGGGGGGGCCAACGTCACCCCACACCCACCCCCATCCCCTCGTTGTCACGGCGACCGGCGGTGCTCATGGTGTAAACAGTTTCTCAGCTTTGTTCGGGCGGCTCCCATCGCCATTGGCACTGCAAGAGGCTCCTCTTCGATTCCTCGTCGCGACGTGGGGAGGGGGCTCCACCTCTTCCCCCTCTTCCCCCTCCCTCCTCCTCCCACCCGCCTCTCTTCATCTGCTGCTCCTCCTCCTCCTTGACCCCCCCCCATCCCCAGTGTTGTGGCCGATTCCCTCCCACCCCCCCCCCCCCCACCTCGAGGATTTCCCCCCTCCCCCCCCCATAAAGCCACGCGCGGAGCAAGGTCAATGTTGGGGCCGTACCCCTCCCTCCCCCCCATCCCCCTCCTCCTCAACTCCCCCCTCCCGTTGGGGCGAGGGCCCCCCCCCACCGGCCCCACCATCGCCGTGCACGGCCGCACAACCACCGCTCCACCACGGTCCCCGGCCTCCACCCCCGGCCACACCCCGGTTACCGACTGCTCGCTATACCACGGCGGGTCGGCCCCACCGCGAAGCCGACCCCACCGCGGAGCCGGCCCCACCGCGGAGGCGGCCCCACCGCGGTTCCGGCCCCACCGCGGAGCCGTCCCCCCACTGTGGAGCCGGCCCCACCGCGGAACCGTCCCCACCGCGGAGCCGTCCCCCACCGCGGAGCCGACCCCACCGCGGAGCTGGCCCCACCGCGGAGCTGTGTTTGTTCCTGTGGCTCGCTCGAGGCCGCTTTGTTCGCGGGGTCTACGACTGGGAAGACAAAAAGAGCTTCACAGCTCCTCAGATTCCTCCCGTGGGAT